ATTTTAGTGCCATACTTATGAATATCTTTTTATCTTGTAATTCAGATTTATTTTTAGGGAGGCTGAGACATAAAGATTTCAAGATTGAATGTGTTCAATCACTTATTGTCTCTTATTTTCTGCTTTTTAGAGGCAAACATGGTCATGATCCTTGATCCATTTGCAGGTTTCTCATCTGCTTGATTGTTCTGTCTGCATGTGGCTTCAGACTCAGCTGGTGTCTCCCCAGGTCTGTGCTAGTGCAGCGTGTTACTCAGAGCTGCCAATGTTGCTGCCATTTGTTTCCTGACTGTCTTGAAGGTGGCAGGTACGATGTGGGCCAGTCTTTGTCCATGGAACAGGCCAGTGGATACAACATCTGGGTTCCTGTGTCTGACCTCATTTTTAAGAAATTGCTGACTTTGGCAGGGTCCTGTCAGAGCCTTGGGAATGCCAGCTCGGCCTCCTAAAAGCTACGGTTTCCCCTGGCCTCTGCTGAGTCAGCTGTTAAGTTAGAATTGGCCAGAACAGTTCATTCTGTGCGCTGAGCAATATTTGAAACCAACCTTCCTTTAGAGAGGAGAAAGTTAACTTCAAGTTAATTTGCCTTCTTTTGCAAAAGTAACTTTTTGAGGCTATGGGCAATAAAAGTAGTGATAGAGAATGTCTGAGTCCATATGACACATTAATTATTTTATGTGCTATCTATTAGTTATTTTATATGCATTCACGTATGTTCCTGTAGAAAGTTTTCCAACTTGAACTGCCTTTTGTATTCTGGTAATCCGTTTCACCTTTCAGAAGCTAGTAGAAATAATCATCTGCCCTTCAAGGAAAAAATGTCAGAATTTTTCTTGGTACATACTTTCAAAGCAATTCTTACTAGGTAAATTACCGCTGAACCTGAATGTATATTTAGTTCTCTTCATAAGAAACTTGGCAAGAACATTCCCTTGAGTCCTTCAAGAGCCCTGCTCATAAGCCTCATCTTGGCTGTACTTCTTAGAACACTAAGAATTGGTCAAATGGGTGTACTTATGATGAAAAGGTAAATGCACTGGAACTCCTCATGCTTCTTGTCTCCTTTGTGCTGGGTTTCAATTTATCTTTCATTGCTTTTGTTGTTGCTATTGGTGTAGGTGTTCCAAAACTTTACATCATCATATATTTGCATGTCATCAGTTAAAAAATATCACTGTTAGAATCGTCAGGATGTTATTGAAGTTCAATGAAATAGATTTTACTTAGAGTTCTGAGAAATGCGTGCATTATTTTGAAATAAGAGAGCCAGACTAGTGCTATCATGCTTTGAAGCTTTTTCCCACTGTGACATTGCCAGTTTTACTTTTTGCAAGAAGCATGTCTGGAAGCAGAGAATCATGAAAGCAATTCTGTTATTAGTTAGACGTTTAACATCTGTTCTAAGATCTTGAAATAGTAGGATTCTGAGAGCTCTAGTAGCACCTAAAAGAGAAAGTACTTAAGACCTGGCCTCATACAGTCCAGCTCAGGACCTCCTGGGACACGTGGACCTGGTGGAGTGTGTCAGATACAATGGGTCTGAATTGAGATATGCTGTCATTACAAGAGACTGCAGATTTTAAAGAATTAGGATGAAATAAAATATCTTGATTTTATATTGATGGGATGTTGAAGTTACAGTGGTCTGGATAAACAATGCATTAGAGTCAGGTTGTTAAAGCTTGACTTCTTTTTAATGAACTACACGTAGGCCACACTGTGTCTTCATCATACTGTGCTGAGGGCTGGTGTGGTCAGGGTACTTCAGTTCCCAAAGGCCTGAGAGCAGGAGTCACATCTCTTGCCAGTGCTCCTTTGCTGACAAGCAGGTCCATCCTGGAAACCTCCATCCAGAGAAGCAAAGCCTTAGGATAGTGGCCATTCAAGGGATACCAGGCCAGTGTGGAGTAAGGTGTGTTCTCTGGAGTAAGGTGATTGGGCTCATGGTGGCCTTGAGACGTTTACATGTGAAAGAGAGATAACAATGTCAGGATGTAAAGGACAGTCCCAGAAGTTTTCCTCGAGAGGCCTTTTCCCTAAAGAAATCTTGCCTGACCTTGATTTCATGCTTAGAATCCTCAAGCATGTCTCTCTCGGGAAGCTTCTTTGATGTGACGGACCTAGTAGAAATTCCAGAATGCTCTCACCTGCAGTTAGGTGTGTGTGTCTAAAATTATTCCTTTCTCTAATACTTCTGAGAATGTTGGGATAAGCTTTTGCCTTGCTGCCAACTAGGAGACTAGATAGAGCTTGGCCAGGGCAAAGCCTCCTGAATGCTTGGTGCCCCTCCTTTGTTCTGGGTAGAATCAGAAACTGCACAAACAGGAGATTGGTTTTTGTCCACAGCAGTCTATTCAGTTATTACATAGGTACTGAGATAGACACTGTTCTAAGACATGGGAGGCACTAGCAAGAAAACTCTCTGCACATAAGGAGCTGACATTCTGGGAGGCTGTGGTGCAGCTTGAGACACTTGGAATGAATGACTGAGCTGTAGAAGAACTTGAGAGTTACATAGGCAAACCCATTTATTTGACAAAAGAGCTGTCATTGTACGCTCTGCCCTACCACAGGGGCCAATGGAATGCCTCCTGTAGAGTAGGTACCCGCCCCCTGTGCACACTCACCTGTTCAGCAGGCCCTGGTGGGGATACATTCATGAGTGGAAAAGAGACTTCGGGGATCAGAAGCATAGAATGCAGCCAGGGTGAAGGGGGAGCAACGTTAGACAATAAGCACAAAACATGAGGAAGTTGGACCGTGTGAGTTGAAAAGGTGGGGGCACTGGAACACTGATGGGAGATGAGTAGGAGTTTTAAATTGAGAAGGTAATATTTATGAAAGGGTTAGTGAAGGTGTTGACCTTGCAAATATCGAGGTAGAAGGGGGAAGAAGGCTGGCAAAGGGAGCAGCCAGGACAAAGTCACTGAGGCTGGAAGTGTGCCTAACTTGCTTTTGGAACAAGAGGGTGGCCAAGCTGGCTGGTCCTAGATGAACAAAGGAGAAAGAGAAAGTGTAAGAAGATAGAGAAGTAACAGGGAACCTGGTCACATGGGAACTTCAGCTTTTACACTGCAAGTTTTTGAACAGAGAACTTCTGTGGTCTCACTTACCTTTTTTTTTTTTTTTTTTTAACTAACATAAAGTAAAATTCCATCATGGTGATTGACTGTTCTGGAAGGTGTAACAATCTACGTCGCCATCTAACCATCATCAGAGGCAATGTATTCATTTCATTCCTCTGGAATTCCCACCATAGCTCCCTTTGGACGTGAATTTCTTTAGCTGTGGTACCCTGTGGATCCCGTGCAGGGAGAGAGAAGCTCAGCTTGGAAGGACCAATGAGGAGGCCATACGGGTGTCGGGGCAGGGAGGGCAGCTGTGTGAGGTGGACACGGAGGAGGAAGGGAAGGGTCTGGGTTGGCTCTCAAGGGGAGGTCGATGGAGGTGTTGGAGAATTCATGACTTTGCTCTGATCCCTCAGGAAGGTTATAAACCTCATTTACTGAGATGGGACAAGCTGTGAGTAGAACCAGTTTGAGTGCCAAGAGTTTTTCAACTCTGGACAGTTGGAGTCTAAAGGTCTCTTAAATATCCAGGACAGCTGTCAGCGAGAGCGTACTTGGAAACTCGCATATAACTTGTGAGAGAAACTGCTGGAAACAAGCTTGATGTTGTGGGCAGGAGCCACTAGTGAGTCTGGGCTTCTGGGGCAGTCTGATAGCCCAGAGCGCTGCGTTCCCTCCTTCCCTGGACCCTCCGTTGACTCCTGTTTTTTTTCATGCTTTGGTAGGAAGGTGTGCAGAGACAGCCACGAAGCTTAGTACAGCTACATTGTCTTGGCATTTCCTTGATGTGTGAATTTAAAAAGTGATGTGTGAATTAAAAAAGGCTTAGGAGCCAGGAAGAACTGGTTCAGAAAGACTCTGTGCTGTCTTCCACCAGGAAGTTTAACCTGGGAGCCAGGAAGTACTTGCGGTGCTCGACCCTGGATTATTGTGGATCTGTTAGTGTTTCTGCATTTCTGAGTCTTTCATTTACCAATGCATTTAGATAGAAGAGTGGCCTGAGAGAATGACAGTTGTAAGTTCTGTTAGAAAGTCATGGCAGAGTTTTGCTTTATTTTGAGTCTTTTCCTCTGTTTTAAGAACTTCCTTTGATGGACAGATATATTTTCCTAATTTATTAAGAAAGCATTTTTTAGGGGCTGGGGATTTAGCTCAGAGGCCCAAATTTTAATTCCTTGCTTCCTTGGATTTTATTCCAGGGTCTGAGCTATCACAGGCCTAAGGTGGGCAGGGGGCATAACTATAGTTAGCCAGTAAGATTAGTAGTTCAGTTAAAATTGATTACATGATGGACCAATGGGGAAGTGAGTCACATAGAAAGCAGGCATTCTTAGAGAGCACCACCAACCCTGTTTTCTTAGGTCCAGTGGCCCCAAGCAAACCTTCACCTCCAGCAGTGCAGATAGGCTGAGCTGCCTCACTCAGAGATTAACAGGGCAAGGGACTCTGCTGGCTGCATCAAAGAATAGGCCAGTCTCTAACCCACATTAAATGCAGGCTTCTGGGAGTGGATTCAAGTATCTCTTTATCTAAACCATACTTCTAAGAGCTTCCTCTTCCCTAGGGGTTGGAATGGTGACTCCTGACTTCCTCAGGGTGTTAGGGAGCTATTTAGAATATCAGTCCTTAAGATATGGCATTTGTTTGATCTTTTGTCTGGAGGCCTGACCCACAGCAGATGGTGTCTGTCTTCCTAATAGTTGCAAGGTATCTGGGCTTCTGCACTGGCTCCTTCAAGGACATAGCCCTGTCTCACTGCCCATAATATTTCTAACTAAAGCAGCTGCCTATTATAACATGCTCACCCACCTCTACCCTCCTTCATGCATCCCTCTCTCTTCTTTATTGCAGAGTAATATTCTTACTTTTGCACCAACAGTATAGGATTCCTGACCGGAGCCGCGGGAGACAGGAGGCCAGACTCGAGCAGGATCAGCTCTCAAAGTTTATTGCCTACAGCGAACCGGACCTAACAAGGTCCGCCACCCTCAACGTTGGTTCCTCTTCTGCCCGTTAGGGGCAGGGTCAGTCTCTTATAAGGGAAAACAGCATCCAATCATAGCAAAGCAAGCCCAGCAAGCTAATAGGCTAGCGTCATCGGTAGCTGGGCAGATGTGGCAATTTGGCGGGCTTGTTCGGGCCGGGAAGAACCTGGAAGCAGGAAATGGGCGCCATCTTAGCGGACCGGTCAGGCGGCTCCCCACATCTCCCCCTTTTTTATTTATTTGAAAATGTGATGTCATGTGGGTCCCTCTAGGGTGTTTATAATCTTGTTATTGTTGGACACCTTGGAGCGGGTCTACTTTGTAGGCCGAGGCATGAGAGAATGTAGAGGTCTATACCCTGCTGTGCATCACCTCGTTTTGTGCATATCCCCCCGGTAGGACCATGCTCAGGGTGAGTGGTTCATTTTTTTGCAGGGCCAGGCATATGTGAACTGAACCTGGATGCATATAGACATTCATTCATGCCTTCCCCCCAACCTTTGAGGCGGATGGCACTGCAGTACCCTTGGTCTCGCATCTCAATGCCAATAATTTGGCTCCAGGAGGGACCCCTGGCCTTAAAGGCCATATATATCTGAGTGGAGCCTATCTTAGGTTGACCGGGAGGACGTCTCCCGTCTTACCCGTCATTGGCTTGCCCACTCAGCTTTTATAACTGATGTTCTGCGACATGAAGGAGATATGCGGCAGCCTGTCGACCCGATGGGCCGCCCGCTGCCATTTGCATGGCTGCCATAGCCGTGACCTTGACCTGTTGCTGGGTTTGCATAAGGCGGTCTAACAAGCATTTGATAACAAGCCTTACTAGGATAGCCATGGCAATTAGGATCCAAAAAGAGGTAATCGTGGGACAGAAGGAAGAGAAATGGAGGGTCGACCGGAGTTAAGCGGGTGGGTCATAATCAAGGACTGTTTGATTGATGGTGTAAACCCTGGGTGAGGCGGGCAAGGCCGCCGAAAAAGGTGCCAATGTGGGCGGGTGGTGCCAAGGACCCCAAAGATATTGTGGTGGTTCTGTGGAATCTGAGCATATCACAGGGGTGATTAATAGGAACCCACAGAATAGAAAAAACTCCAAACCAGACATTTTAGTTTGTAGATGGTCTCGGGCGCTGAGCGTCGGTCCCAGAAGGGTCGAGTTGACTTGTGTCCGCGGGCTTATCCTCCTGTGCTTTATCAAGAACTGGTGGGGAGTTTACTGCTCGCGTCAATCTTTCCGGGACCCATAGCGGCTCGCGACCTGGTTCCTGTGGGAAGACACAAACCGCACCTCGGGTCCAACTAACCACTGGATCCGGGCCCTTCATTGTCCTGTAAGGACATCTTTCCATCTAACCAGCCCTTTGTCGGTTGGGGATGGATTGCTATGTTCCATGGCAGGGGAATGATTATTGTGGTTTAAATTGAGAAAATTTATGGTAAAGAGTGCCAATGATATTCTTCCTTTGGGCGTTAGGCCGTGGCCTATCCCCTCTTTTTGCTTTTGTAAGACACCCTTGAGTGTCCGATGTGCCCGTTCAATGATGCCTTGTCCTTGAGGGTTATATGGAATGCCATGCTTAAGGACAACATCCATTTGTTGACAGAATGTTACAAAAGTTTTGCTGGTGTAAGCAGGACCATTGTCTGTTTTTAATATATTGGGCTTTCCCCAAGCAGCCCAGGCTGCAAGACAATGATTAATAGCATGGGTGGCCCTTTCTCCAGGTTCTGCCGAAGCAAACATAACCTGAGAAGCGGTGTCAACCGAAACATGTACATATTTGAGTTTTCCGAATTCTGGGATGTGTGTAACATCCATTTGCCAAATATGATTGGGGCGCAGTCCTCTCGGGTTAACACCAATAGATTGTTGAGGTGAAGAGATCACACAGGCCGGACAATGTCGTACTATGTCTCGTGCTTGTGCTCTCGTGATGTTAAAGCGCGCCACAAGGATGCGGGCATTAACATGGAACTGAGAGTGGAATTTTTGGGCCGATTCTAGAGGACTGGGAAAGGTGAAGATCCATACTGGGCGCGTGGCCAAGTCCGCCAAGGCATTACCTTCCGCCAAGGGTCCAGGTAGGTTAGTGTGAGCTCTGATATGTGAAATGAACATTTTTGAGGTCCTACTCCATAGTAGATGTTGAATACCTCGGAATATGGAGGCTACCGTCGAAGAGGGTTTGATGGGACCTGCCATCTCCAAAACTTGGCGAGCATTTACCACATATTTGGAGTCTGACAGGAGGTTAACGTCGCCTGGGAAGCGACGTAAGACTTCCTGTATTATCTGGAGCTCGACCACCTGAGGTTGGTCTGGAGTGAATTGGATAGTTTTTGGCTCTTGACCCATAACCACATATGCGCCTATGCCTGATTTGGAGCCATCCGTGAAGATTATTGGAGCTCCAGTTATGGGGTATGCGGATGTAACCTTGGGAAAAATCACAGGGTGTACTGTAATAAACTGAAGTAGTGGGTCTTTTGGGAATTGATTATCTATGGTCCCTTGAAACGTACACCGGAGAATCGCCCAGGAATCTAGACACGTTCAGGGCCAAGAGCTCCTCCTTGCCTAATCTGTCTATTAGGACAATTACGTTTGACGTGTCCTGTTTGGCCACAGCCAAAACAAGAGGTGTTGTTTTTACTTTTATTGCCCTTTGCCGGGGGCTTGCCTCCGTTGGCGGCGCCTTGAAGGGCAGCGACCATGGCGGCGGCGAGCCCGTGATTAGTTACCAGGCCACCCAATTCATGGCACAGGCGTGTCCACTCTTCTAAGGACCTATTTTTGTTAGTTCTTAGGACATCACGGCACTCCTTAGTGCACTGTTCAAAAATCAATTGTTTTATGAGAGGGTGAGCCGCCTCAGCATCTGGAAAAATCCTGTTAGCGGCCTCAAGCATGCGGGCCACAAAGTCTGAAAATGGCTCTCCCTGCCCTTGTATAATTTTTGTAAGGTGACCCGTATGTTCTCCCTTTCCAGCCAGCCGTCTCCAGGCCTGGAGGCTAATTTGTTCATAAACCTGGCGAGGGTATTGAGTTTGATCTTCCTCAAAGGCTCCTCGCCCTAATAGCATATCCCTGTTCCACTCTCTCTGGTTATTTTCCCTGTTGGCTGCCGCCTGCTCTACACAGAATTCCTCATTCCAGGACTTCCAATCTAAATATTGTCCGGGGGAGAGGCAGGCACGTGCCAGCTGGGTCCAATCTCCAGGAGTTAAAAGCAGACCTGCCAATGCCTCTAAAAGCGCCATGGTAAATGGCGCATTGGGCCCATAAGCTGAAACTGCGTCCTTGATAGCTTTAAGTTGTTTAATTTCTAAGGGCTCATAATATCCTCCTCCTCCCCTGCCTCCTACTTGTACTGGGAATGCATGGAGACCGGAACACTCAAAGGGAAGCCGCGACCATACCCTCTGGTGGAAGGAACGTCCTCCTCCCTCCCCAGATGGGGGCGCAGAAGGCAACCCAGGAAGTAGCTCTCCCTTTAACCAGGGCGGTGCCATAGGTTGTGGGCGCCCTCTGGCGGCCATGGGTGGAGGTGGCAGCCCAGGGAGCAACTCCTCTTCCGGCCATGGCGGTGCAGTGGGGCCTGGCGCCCTGAAGGGGGTGATCGTGGGTCGCAAACTTGCCAAAGGGCGGAAGGGCTTAAGCTCCTCCCGTAAGGCGGAGTAGCTCGAGCAGGGTGGTGTTTGGTTCCCCTTTTTATCTTCCCGAGCCCTGAATTCCTCTTTAAGCTGTGCAGGAGGGTCCTGTTTAGCGAAGACAACCTCCTCTTTTGAACCTTCCGAATCAGAATCAGAATTAGAGCCCTGAAGGTCCTCCGGAGACCCACAATCGGCAGTGGCTCCGGACTCCTCTGAGCATTCCGATCGAGCTTTATCAAAAGCCTGTCGGGCTGTATGAAGTCCGGGGATCTGCTCATCCGTTAGGCAAGCTCTAATCATCTCCCATAGGGGTAGAACCATAGGGTCTAAGAGACCCCTCTCCTGGGCACATCTAAGGTCTCCTCCCAGCTTTTCCCACGATGGGAGAGTTAGTGAGCCCGTGGGCCAAAACCAGGGGGCAATATCATTGATATGGTCCAGGAACCTCGAGAAGGTGACCCGGTTCATGTAGATGCCTCGGGTCCGCAGTAAGACCCTTAGGGAATCGGCAAGGGGCTTGCGAGCAGCGTTGCCCATATTAGCGAAGCGAAAGCAAAACAGATGCAAAGGGAAAAAAGAAAAAGAAAAAAAAAAAAAAACCGGCGTCCACTCGCATGGCACTCAAAATCTGTTAGGTGCGTCCACCCAACCCAGGTGATCCAGTACTCACCTGTCCCGGGAACCGCTGTATCTCACGTATCTGATCAGGGTGAAGAGAAGAGGCGCTCAGGGCCTTCCGTTGTTATTGGGCCAGGTCCTCCGTCGTACCGCAGGTGACAGCAATCGCACCTCCCGGCCAAAGAGGCACGTCGCTGAGCCTTTTGTCCCCGTACGGGCCACCAGATGACCAGAGCCGCGGGAGACAGGAGGCCAGACTCAAGCAGGATCAGCTCTCAAAGTTTATTGCGTACAGCGAACCGGACCTAACAAGGTCCGCCACCCTCAACGTTGGTTCCTCTTCTGCCCGTTAGGGGCAGGGTCAGTCTCTTATAAGGGAAAACAGCATCCAATCATAGCAAAGCAAGCCCAGCAAGCTAATAGGCTAGCGTCATCGGTAGCTGGGCAGACGTGGCAATTTGGCGGGCTTGTTTGGGCCGGGAAGAACCCGGAAGCAGGAAATGGGCACCATCTTAGGGGACCGGTCAGGCGGCTCCCCACAGATTCCTTTTCTAAAAAGCTGCTCCAGCACTTGACCTCTTGATGATGGCAGTTCTTTCGGTTATAAGATGAAATCCTAGTGTTGTTTTAATTTGCGTTTCTCTTCTGGACAGAGATGCTGGACATTTTTTCACATATTTATTTACCAATTGTACTTCTGAGAAGTGTCTGTTTATTTCACTAACCCATTTTTTAATTAGGTCTTTTATTTAGGGGAGTCTAACTTTTTTGAGTTCTTTATATATTCTAGATATTACTCCTTTCTCCAAGAAACAGTTGACAATTTTCCCCCCAGCTGTTTCTGTTGGGGTTGTCAGCTGGACCTCACAGACATCCACTGTGCACATTTTGGGGGTCAGCAAAAATTTCCAAGTTGTGTGAGGATATACTTCCCTCTCCTGAAGAATATTTACAGGTGCGGTCTATGAATCAAGATCTAAAGTGCTCACTATATTGCACAAAGCTGTGACTGTGTCCTGGGCTGAGTCTGAAGGCCTCCTAGGCTGAAATGAGGAACTTAATCATCTGTTACAATAAGGGTGTAGATTCACTGAATCCCATCATGGAAGATGAATTTTCAGTGTCAAAAAAGAAGACTAGAAGGATGTATTGGAGGAAGGAGGATGCCCACAGGAGCAGAGGGGAGGTGCTCACACAGCTGGGGTGGGGCACACATTTGAAGGCCACGTGCATCATGGGTGATCACAGACAGATTTACAAGCTCACTGCTGGGTTATAGGGCAGGCTGTCCACACAGGCTGGAGGTGGAGATATGCCTTAGATAAGCTGTCTGCTGCTTTCTGGGCTAGAAGTAAAGGGCAATTCTCAGCTGAAAAGGAAATGACAGACACATTTACAGGAGAAGGGGAAAAAAATACACCAGGCTTGTGTTCTAAAGCAGTTTTTCTTTAAAAGTACAATTTCAAACTCTTGGTTTCTTGTTTTCTTTTCTACCTAGTTTATTTCTCGTATCCAACCTCAGCTGTATCTCATGACCATTTCCAAGGCTCAGCCTTGCGTGGGTCTAGGGCCACTGCGTGCCCTCTGTGGCAGGCCTGAGTGAGGAAGGTGCTGAATTTGATTTTCCAAACCACCCCACAGGCAGCTGAAAGTCTCAGTTTTTGCAGCCTTTTCCCAAATACATCATTCAGAGGATCAAGGCCCAAGAAGCAGCAACTGGGCCCACAGGAACCCCATTTTAACAGACAGGAGTAGGAGAAGATGAAGGGTAGGGACAGCACCACCAACCCGGTTTTCTTAGCTCCAGAGGCCCCAAGGAAACCTCCACCTCCCCTGGTGCAGATAGGCAGGGCTGCCTCACCCAGAGCTTGACAGAGGAGGGACCCTGCTGGCTGCATCAAAGAACGGGCAGGTCTCTCATCCATGTTAAATGCAGGCTTCTGGGGGTGGGTTCAAGTATCTCTTTATCTAAACCATACTTCTCAGAGCTTCCTCAAGTGGCTTTTTGCTTGCCTTTGCTTTCACTCCCTTCACATCTCCAACCCCACCAGGCTTATAACCTTGGTCTCTTTAGATGCTAATGCCAGGGAGAGGGACAATGAGAAATGGGGGCACACACTGGGTCCTTTACCTGAGCAGGCCTCTTTTTCTGAGGGCAGGTGCATCAGGGCTTTAATTGCAGCTTTCAGCCTCTGCCACTGAGCCCCGAGGACTTCTCTGCAGGCAGAAGTGCCAAGTGCTACACTCTCTCCATCCCACAATCTATGACCAGGGTCAGAGGCCACTCTCACTCTAAAGAACGCCTTTGTGCCTCACCCTTGCAGAGTTGCCAGCCTGCACACTGCTCTCTGCCTTCACAGAGGAAGGCTGATCCCCAGGGAAGTCATACCAGCCTGCTTGTAGGAGCCCCTCCTGCTACAGCCTTGCTTGGTGACAGCTTTTGAAGGAGTGAAGGTTCTCTCTAGCCACACACCTGAGGAAAGCCTGCTGCAGAGCCTGCGGTGGACTTTGCCATCCTCCACTTCATTAATTCACATGGAGAAAGGAATCACTTGAATAGTATGTGAAGTCTGCCAAATGACTGGTATTTGGCTGCACTCTTGAGATACAGGTGATCCGTTCTGCATGTGGTGATGTGAGTACACTAGGCCAATCAAGACTTACACTGATCATCCTCCATGTGTGCCCCCTGCACCATGCCATGACCGCTCAAAACTGGAGCTGAACTATATGAACCAAAAAGAAGAGCTGGCCACAGGTAGCCTTCAAAGAGTACTTCTGTGGCCTGGCGTGGTGGTGAAGTGTATAATGCCAGCACTTGGAAGGCTGAGGCAGGAGGATTGCTTGGCTATAAAGTGAGTTCAAGGCAAGCCTGCACTACTTGGAAAGACTCTGTCTCAAAAAACCACACCAGAAAAAGGGTGCTTCTGCAATCTTTTTGTTGGCCTAGGAAGTCCAGTTTGGTTTTATTCTTGCCATGAGCAGGTAAAAATAACTTCACCAAGGGAATTTGGTATCTTGTTGGCATTAAAAGTTCACAAAACTAGTAGCTCTGGAAGACCAAGAGACGGGACTTTGGGCTTGTTCCAACCTGGTCCTCAACTCTGATGCCTTTCAGTCTCATGCAGTCCTAAAATGGGTGAACAATTTCCGTTTCAAAGCTCTCCCCTCCCACACGGGCACTCAGTCATCTATCGGCAGCTTCCTCTGAGGCTGAGAGGTCTGATTCACCGAGGCTGCCCCGGTTTCCATGTATCCTGCCCACAGGAGCTGTGACTCTTGGCCCTAGCACCTGAGGGTCAGCAACAAATGGGCATCTGAGGCTGCCGGGGGCCAGTCTGGGCTGGGTGAGGCTGAGGTGGGTGCTGTGGAGTGCCTCAGCTGAACGTGGTTCTGAATTTTCTCCTTGCAACGAAGCTTTGTAGTTGGCCTTTCCTGCGTGTGGTGTCTGAACTCCAGGTGCTGACCTGAAGTCTTTGTGGTTTAGATTTTGTTATGGTGCTCCCAAGTATAGGGTGGATGCTATTTTCAGTATTTACCTACATCATTCTCTAAAACATGCAGCCAACAGGAATGTCAGGCCCCACTCAGTAGATGAAGAGAAATGAAGTGAGATTAGTTCAGTGTCTGCTGCTAGCCTTGATTGTGCTGGGATTTGGATCTAGGCAGGATCACCCCAGGGCTCATGTTGTTACTCACCCCTCCTGCTTTGGGAAAGTGGGCAGGTATAGAGTTAAATATACACGAGTTGAACCATAAATTCGCCTGCATACATCCTACATGATATGTTGTCCTGTGATCGACATAAAATGAGTAGCAAATGATTTATAAGCTGGTGCTTAATATTAGAGTCCTTTTAAAGTCAACAATAGCATAGTATTACAGTTATAAAAGCTGAGACTATGTTTACATTCAACTCTGCTACTTGAGGACTGAATGACCATGATGAACTATTGATGTGTCTCAAAGTCTCGAGTCTTCACATCTTTAAATTGGGTTGCTTTCATAGAAGACGAATTTACAACAGCATAGGATCTGGCACACGTAGTATGCAGACAGTTACTGTCTATAAATCAGGACAGGCTCCTGTGTTTGGTATGTTTTTATTTTTTAGCTTGGATTAGTGTAGTGGTGGCTCAGCGTGGCTCCTTCAGCTGCAGTTTTTCAGAGACAATTCTATAAATTCTTGCTTCCATGTATGAACACTCACACTTGTGTGCATGTGCATATAAACATATGCATGCGAACACACAGAGCCTACAACATCTGTACTTGAAATTATATGAACTAAGTGAATTCTGTCTTGTTTAACGAGAACTTATTTCTTTTAGTAAAACAATCACTAACTTTAAAGCCCGAGAAACTTCAAGGTTAATTTTAAAACTACTTTTGTAAACTAGGCAGAAGAATTGCCATAATGCCTAAGAGTTGCAAAGTAAAGCAAATGAATTGACTGTGCTATTTATTTTCCTATGAGACTCTTAGAAACAAGAACATAATCTGTGAAACTGTTACAAATATCAACCAGAATCTTAGTTAAGCACATCTGTATTGAATGTCTTCTCTGATGTGGTTTTATGGATATTGGTAAGTGCAAAATAAGTCATCCAGTGAAATATTTTCAAAATACAATGTTGATGTAGAATAACATATTTTAAACATCTGTTCAGAGCTTAGCCACAGTGTTTGTTTAAAAAAAGAAAATGCTGTAAGACCCATATTTATAAAAAAGAATCTGTTATGTGGAAAACCAACCAAATGCTCATTAATAAAAGATGGTTAAACTGTAGCATGCACAGATGCTCCTGGATTTACAAGGAGTGTTGGATATCTTTACAAGGAGTGTTGGTTTATCTGGATAAACCCATTTTGAGTTGGAAATATTATATCAGGAGTGCATCTGAGGTTTGGGGTAAAGCCTAGAGAGAGATAGAATATGTCTCACTTTTGTGAGATTCTGACTTTGATCCTCAGCACCCTTCTTGCACACACACACACACACACACACACACACACACACACAGATTCACTGCTTCACCTGACGTATCAGAGATCTTACCTGAGCACCCTAGAGCACTGTAACACATTCCTTTTTCTCTCTTGCAATCGCTTGACTGACTAGGATTGTAGTTTACTACCAACCTTTGAAGGGGACGCAGCATCTTACCCAATATTGCTAGTCTGGGGAAAAGTTGTAAGTACAGTTTCTACCAAATGCATGTACCTTTTGCACCACTGAAAGGTTGAAAATCATAAATGATGCCATCTAGAGTTGGAGACCATCTCTCTTCACAGTGGAGTGAATATGCAGCTATTGTAACAACATGTTATTTATATAGGAATGCAAAATGGACCACTGAGATACCTTCTCCTCCAGGGCAAGAATTTTGTCTGTTCTGATCACCTTGTATGGGCTCCTCAAGCAATGCTTGCTACTCAGTGGGTGCTCAGTAAATGACGGTTTTAATGGTTGGATGAGTGAATGTTGTTCATTTTGAGGCAAAGCAAGGTATTGGAAAAAGGATATAGTACTTCTTATGCCTTTCTGTCTCTTTCCCTTTTTTATTTGCCTTGTCCTTTTCCTTTTCCTCAGTGCTAGGAATTGAACCCAGGGCCTGGCGCATGCTAGCCAGGTTCTCTACCTCTGACCTCTGCACACCCCACCAGGTGTGTGCTTAACCGAGTGTGTGTAGTCAAGCATGTGTACACATAGGAAACATTATCTGGCTTTGGGGAGGAACTGGAGGATGGGGACTGAGGCAGAGAAAGGTAAGCAGGGTTTCCTTTTGTTTCCTTTTATACCATAGCTCACTGTCTGCATGGGCTAATTAAATATAAAAGTTAATAGATCCTGACTGATGTGAGTTTGGACTTCCTCTCCCCCTTGCTACATACTTCTTACTGTCTTGGTAAAGTACCTATATCCTCTGAGAGAGAAATGATAGTGCTGAGGGAGCAGCGTGGTGTCTGCTGCATGGAATTCCTGGGTGATGGACACTGCATCACCTGCCTGTGGGTGCCCATGAGGGCGCTCTTGCTGCTGTCCTCTGGGCCCTGTTTCCGCGACCTCTGCACCACGTGCAGAGCACGGGCCTTCTCAGGAGCTCTGTGTAAGTCTCAGGAGGAATCCACGGCTGCAGTACGAGTCACTGATGAATTCATAATTTCCTCCCTGTAGAGGCCAGTCTCAAAGTAAACAATGTTCTTGTCCAGATGGGTGCTCCCCCTCTTTGAGATTTATCTTACATATACTTTCAAAGTTCTGATCTCTTACAGTTAAGGCCATTCAGCACATGGGCTACAGAGTGCAGGAGGGCCCATAGGCAGGGCAGAGTTCTGTGGATTTTGACTTTCTAAATGTACTTCAGTATCATGGGGGTCCCAGGTGTTAATTTTTTTTTTTATATACCAGGAATTGAACTCACGACCTTGGTTTGCCAAGCAGGCACTTATGATGCTGAGCTAAACCCCTGCCCCTCTAAATGTTAATATTAGGCCATATTTTTATTCTCTCTGTGTGTTTTGCTGTTTTTGATGAGACCACTTAAGTTGTGGACATTGTGCCATTTTCCTGTTACCTATTTTTTCCAATTATTACATTTCTTCCAAGTTACTGTTAATTTTGGGATAGATATCAGCTTGGTTCCTTATGGATTCTTCAAGCGCAACATGGGAGGCTAGGAATATTTTTACATATTTTTAAGTTGTCTTTAAACTTTCAGTACATGTCACTTTTTAAGACTTGGGTGTTCATTTCTTTCCTCTTTGACAATTCTGGTAAACTGAAGGTAGCATCTAGTTTCTGTTGCAGACTCCAAAGACACTGATCTTTCTGTACTTAGACAAGATTAGCATAAACAGCAGTAAAGGTGAAGGTGTTGGCTATTCCATGACGTAATACAGCAGTTTATAAGTATAAATTACACTACGTTATTTAATCCACAGAATCCCATTAGGTTTGCATTGTTTGTAACCCAGTATAACAATAACAACAATCATACTACCTTCTTCTTTAATATTTCTATTTTCTTTCTTTCTTCCCTCCCTTCCTACTTTCCTTCCTTTCTTGAGGTGATAAGGATCAAACCTAGGGCCCTTGTATGCTAGACAATTACTGTACCTCAGAGAGACATTATTAGTAAAAGAAGAAGAAAGAAAACAAAACAAGACCACTCATAATCATGTCTTAACACAAGTTAGAAAAGAGCATAGTGGATGATAGGATTATTTCCAAAGATGAAAAATATTTCCAAAAGATGAGAAGTATAAAACAAAAGAGGCCTTTATTCTGAGAACACGGAGAGAGGACTGGCACGCGGGCCGCTGAAGTCTGGCGATCTCTCTCGCGGACACGTGGCGTGGGGGGAATATAAGTAGCCTAAGCTTAGGGCAGTGCCCTAAGGCCATTAGAGATGCACAGGTATTTCATTGGCACACGTTTGGTGCCAGGGGCAGATTCTGAAGGGTGGGGGAATATAGGGTTACAGGTAAATCTCTAGAGGTGGGGGAGACAGAAGCTCCCTAATTCTGGCTGAGGCTTTTTCTGGCTACAGTGTCCGGTCTGGGTCAACAACCCTTTCATATCCCGTCTTATGATTATTATGAAAAAGGGCGAAGATTTCTCTCTTTAACTAATTCCTGCTGGCAGGGGGCGCTGTACTGGAGCCTAGGGGAGTCGATGGGATGATGGCTAATGCCCAGGTAGATGCTAACGCGAGGTGTTTTAGCCAGGACAACTTCACTGGTGAATGTACATATGTCAGATTGGACAAACAAAGAGACATGATGTTATATGAGGAAACATGGCACTGTCATATTTAAGGACCCAGGTGAGGTAGAAGGAAAGGTGCCTTTGATTTAGACATGTTATTTTATCAGGATGACGTTGAGGTAGGATCATTATCATGGTGAGGTAGAATTCTGAAAAATAAGTGTGAGGTTAGAAGGAGTGAAATTATGAGAGGTGATTATTCCCCCATATGAAAGCATAAAAGTCAGGAGGGTAGGTGTGTAAAACTTGTCTCTAGTCTAGGAGTTGAACTGGAAAAAATAGAGGGAGTAGGGGAGATAAATTAGATCTCCTGGGGATGTGGGAGGATCTGGTTTGGCCTCTCCAGAGGGTTGTGGAAGGCAGAGATCAGCATGTTGTCTCAACAGATGTCGGAGGAAGGAGAGGACTGGGACATAGTCAGCCAGGGGAAGGAGATTTTGGGGAGTAGGAAGATTGTAGAATAAGAATGGCCTGCCATACATAAGTTCAAAAGGACTTAAGAAAGTAGGAGCCTGGGGAAGTGCCCTGAGCTTGGCTAAGGCTAAGGGCAAAAGTTGAGGCCAAAGTTGGTGTAGTTCTAAAGTGAGTTTTGTAAGGAGTGTCTTTATTAGGCCATTTGCCCTTTCTACTTTCCCTGAGGATTGTGGATGGGATGTGTAGGTGCCAGCTGATGTGTAAGCTCGAGGATACCTGTTGAGTGATCTGAGAAATAAAGGCAGGACCATTATCTGACTAAATACTCTGAGGTAGACCAAACCTTGGAATGATTTCTTGTAATATGATTTTGGTAACTACATCAGCAGTTTCCCTGGTTGTGGGAAAGGCTTCTATCTATCCTGAAAAGGTACCAAAAAAGGTGAAAAGATATTTGAGATTTGTGGTGGGGCATGTGAGTAAAATCTATCTGCCAGTCCTGACTAAGGGTGTGTCCCTGAAATTGATGGGTAGGAAAGGAAGGGGGTGCCATGCATCCCTGAGGAGAGGTCCTGGCACAGAGATCACAGGTGTGAGTAATCTTAAGAATGATAGCTTTTAGAGAAGGGTGTGTGACTATTGGGGCTAAGAATTTGTATAGGGCCTGTGATCCTATATGAAAAGTTGTGTAAGTCAGTGATGATGTCTGAGGCCTGTTGATGTGGGAGAACAAGTTTTGATCCCTGAAAAATCCATTCCTGAGTGTTTTGTGTGTAACCTGGTTTTTGAAGTAGCTATAATTGTTCTGGTGAATAATTGGGCTGAGGTAAACTGTTTGGGACTAAGGGGAGAATATGAGAAGGGCAGGGCCCTTGTGCAGCTATCTTGGCTTGTGAATCTGCAAAGGCATTGCCTTGAGCAATAGGATCTGTAGAGTTTTGGTGTCCTCTGCAATGAATAACTGCTGCCTGCTTTGGAAGTTGGGCTGCCTCTAGAAGTTTAAGGATAAGGGGAGCATTAATGATGGGGGTTCCCTGAGTGGAAATAAAACCCTGTTCTTGCCAGATAGAGGCATGAGAGTGTAAAATGCTAAATGTATACTTTGAGTCAGTGTATATATTTATAATCTTGTCTTCTGCTAGTGTAAGGGTCTTTGTAAGGACAATAAGTTCTGCCCTCTGTGATGAGGTGCCAGGTGGCAGTGGATTTGCCTCTATAACTTTTGACTGGTTAACTATTGCATATACTGCCTTCTTTTGGTTGTCTCTGTTTGTTGAACTGCCATCTATGAACCATGTGTCAAAGGCCAAGGGGAGAGGTGTGCTACTGATGTGAGGGGAAGGGGTGGGAGTCATCTGTAAAAACTCTATACAGTCATGGTGAGGATGGCCCTCTGAGGTGGGAAGTAAGGTGGCTATATTAAGAGGACCATTAGTTGCAATAGAGATGCAAGGGTCTTGAGAGAGAGCAAAGTGTACCTGTTGAAGGCGAGAAGGGGTCATTAGGGCAGGGAGCACCTTATGTGAGATAAGGTCACGTAGGTGATGAGGTGAGTGTACTGTAATAGATTGTTCTAATGTAAACTTTTTAGCTTCCTGTGTCAGGAGGGCTGCAGCTGCAAGAGCTCGGAGACAAGGAGCCCATCCTTTTACTATGTGATTTAACTGTTTTGACAAGTAAGCTACTGCTTGAAAAGAAGGTCCCTTTTTGTGTCCTAGTACACCTATAGCGTTGTGGCCCTAACAAGTAATGTATAGGGTGAAAGGTTGGGTGGGGTCAGGAAGGGTAAGAGCTGGAGCTTTTAGGAGAGCCTCTTTTAATTTTTAAAAGGAGGCATGTATGGGCCTAGTAGGGTCCATGGATTCTGATAAGGGACCCTTAGCGGCCTTGTAGAGGGGTTGAGCTAGGGCTGCAAAGTTAGGAATCCAGAGACAAAAGAAATTATCTAAACCTAGGAAAGATGTAACCTGTTGTTTAGTTGTGGGCACCTGGAGATCACGAAGAATTGCCTTACAATCTGAGGTGATGGAGCGAGTGTTGGGGGTGAGAGCGAGACCTACATATTTGACTTTTGGGGAGGCTATCTGGGCTTTGGCAAGAGACACCCTGTATCCATGACTAGCAAGGAAATTAAGAAGACTGCCTGAGTGATGTATCGCTAACATGTGGGATGGAGAACATAATGGGAGGTCGTCTATGTATTGAAGAAGAACACTAGGTTTGAGATCAAGTTCTATGATGTCAGTATCGAGAGTCTGACTAAAGAAGTGGGGACTATCCCTGAACCCCTGGGGGAGCACTGTCTAAGTAAGTTGTTGACACCTGAGAGTGTCTGGGTCAGTCCATGTAAACGCAAAGAGGTTCTGGCAATCAGGGTGTAGGGGGATAGTGAAGAAGGCATCTTTAAGATCTATAACTGTAAAGTGAGTAGTGGAGGATATGAGAGAGCATGGTATAAGGATTTGGCACCACTGGGTGAGTGGGGGTAACAGCACTGTTAATTATCCTAAGGACCTGTACCAGGTGATAGGACCCATCAGGCTTGAGTACCGGGAGAATGGGAGTATTGTGGGGTGAATGGGTAGGTTTAAGAAAACCATTGTCTAAAAGCCGCTTAATTATGAGTTTAAGTCCCCTTAAATATTGGGGAGATATGGGGTATTGGGGAATGCAGGGAAAAATTGAGGGATCCTTGAGATGGATTAAAACAGGTGTGGCATGTGTAGCCAGAGTGGGATTGAATGTGTCCCAAACCATGGGGTCAACCAGAGAAGGAGGAAGAGCGGGGAATGGCTTTGTGATGCATTGTGAGGCTGTTTGGAGGATTAGGGCTGTGGGGAGAGAGAAAGTGAAGGAAAAATTAAGCTATTGAAGAAGGTCTCTACCTAAAAGGGGTGTGGGACATGTTGGGATTACTAGGAAGCTATGGGTAAAGAAAAGAGTCTGGAATCTACATGGGATAGGCCCAGTCTGCAAAGGTTGATTCAGCTGGCCGTCAACGCCCACAACAGAAATCAGAGACTTACTACAGGGTCCTGAAAATTCAGGAAGTACACTATAAGTCGCCCCTGTATCCACAAGCAGAGATATTATTTTACCTAAGACCTCCAGTGAGACTCGGGGCTCTGACAAGGTGACCAGAGTGGGGGCTGTGAGCCCCGAGCCCCATCAGTCTTCCACAGCAAGTCCGAGCAGGTCAGTCAGCGACGAATCTGGCATTGACGAAGTCTCCTGTGAGGGCGAAGGATTAGAGAATGGCCTAGTCACTTGCTGGCATTTAGGACAATCGCTCTTCCAATGCCCTTTAACATTGCAATATGGGCAGGGCCCAGGAGGAATGCCAGGGTTAGGGCAGTCTCTTGCCCAATATCCTTGTTTGCTGCATTTGAAGCATGGTCTGGGTGGGACTTGGGCAGCCACACCTTGTGGATTTTTTGTCTTGGGAGCTCTGAGTGCCACTGCTAAGAGATCAGACTGATATTTACCAAACTTTAATTTTTGAGCTTGCTTTTCCTCTTTTTGAAGCTTATCTCTATTGTTGAAGATACGGAAGGCTAATTTAAGTAGACCCCCTAGTGGAGTTTGAGGGCCATGTTCAACCTTTTGTAATTTTGCACGAATATCAGGAGCAGACTGTGAAATAAAATAAGAGTTAACAACAATCATCCCTTCATGAGAGTCTGGGTTTACATTAGTATATTTAATTAAGGTTTCCCGAAGCCAATTTAGAAACACAGCCAGGTTTTCATTAGCCTCCTGGACCTGTTCTAAAAGCTTTTTATAATTAGTGTGTTTGTGAGCGATCTTATTAAGGCCCACAATCAGACACTCAATCATTTTATGTAATTTTGTTGAACCTTGTCCATTTTGATAGTTCCAGTTAGGATCTTGATCTGGCACAGCTACAGGCCCAGGGTTGTTGTCAGTGGTATTTTCCCTATGTCTGCGGTCAGCTTCTTCTCGAGCTGCTTGCCACAGCTGATTTCACTCTTGCGAGCTAAGGGTGATATTTAAAATCACATAAACATCTTTAAAATGTAAATCGTAACAATTAGTAATGAATTCAAATTGTCTGATATAATTTTGTGGGTCAACAGAGAAGCTTCCTAATTTATGGGTAATCTGAGACAGATCAGAAAGAGAAAATGGCACATGTATATTAACAAGTCCCTCGGGGCCAGCTTGCTCCCAAAGTGGCAGCAGAGCCTGAGAAGAATGTGGAGGAGAGTGCCATTGGGCAGCTATCCGCCCGGTAGACACGTGTGAGTAATTATCTGAAGAGTGGCTATAGAGCAGCTGCCGCTCACCCTGGGACGAGGAAACACAGGCAGATGGCATTGTACTATGTGCCTTGCAAGGAGAGGATTGTTGTGGGCCATGTGGACCGCAACAAGGCGGCTGTTGCTGTTCACAAGAGGAGCCACAAGGGGGCGCCCATTGAGCATGAGGCCAGAACGAACATGGCGGCATGACGGCATCCTGTTGGCATCCTTTCGCCACTTGACCCCTTTGAGCATGGCAGCGCCCCATCACCATAGCAACTACCAAACATGACGGCGCTCTGTTACCACATGACCCGCCTGAACTGCCGGAACATGGCAACTACCCATGGCAACTACCCGAACATGGTGGCGCTCCGTCACATGGCAGAGGGCTATCACATGGTGACTGTTTATGGTGCAAGCTGAAAAAATCACACTGCTTGCCTGGAAGGGCACAATGAACGTGACCTAGTGTGGTGGGCAGGCAGCCAGAAGGTATCAGAGGGCAGAGCAGAGCTGCTGGGAGAGGCCTATATCATGGAAGGTGGAGGGAGAGAGGATCGCACAGTGAGAGGTAATTTCGGTGCAGAGAGACCAGGGGTGGGGGGAGGGGATGGCGGTGGCGAGCGAGATAAAGATGAAGAATTAATTTGAGGGTATGATGGAGGCCGAGAGTAGATCGGAGGAACATCCTCAAGCATATCTTGGGGACAGGATGAAACAGGTTGGGTCACATGAGAGCTAGCTAGGAGTATTTGAGTGGGATTACAGGACTTAATGAGAGATGGACGTGTTCTCAGAACCAAAAACGCTTCTATGTACAGCAGCTTTATCACCCTGTCACTGGCTCGACAGAAATCATGCAGTGTTTGTAGAATGGAAACATCGAATGTTCCTTCCTTGGGCCAACATGGGAATGGGTACATAGGCCAAACTTCCTGGCAGTAAAAAGTTAATAATTTAGTTTTTATGGTACTTTAAATTTTTAAAGTACGTAAATTGGAAATTAAGCATTGTAACGGCATTTTTTGGGAGTGAGGAAGTAAATTTCCCATTGTTGATTTAGGCAAGTAAAAACCTGTGGCCCAAAGAATAAGCCATCACTGATTCTGTGGCGCCACACGGCAGGGCTAAGGTTCCAAAACTCGTATATTCTAGTCGTCACTGAGAAATGTATGAGTGGAGTTTGCGTGAGGTCAGTAGCAGCTTTGCCGGTGAAATCGCGAGGTTTTAAAGGAAAGCTAGGGATTTTTCAGTGTGGGCGGCCCAAAAATCTCTGCTTTGGGCTAACAGAACCCAAAGAACATGAGAGATTTTAGTGTGGACACAGGCTAACCCAGAAAAAACCCTGCTCAGGGCTGTCCTAGGGACGTGAAAATGCTAGAGACCCACACAAACGGGGGGAGGGAGGAGGGGGGAGGGGGGGCCCGGCCCAGTGCCACGAGTTTCCCGGAGTGTGCTCACCTTAAATCAATCTGGTTGGTGGTACATGGAGGCGGCCGGCGAGAGGTGAGATGCGTCTTGGCAGAAGGAAAAGCGCAGAATTAAGCCAGGATGTTACTGGTTCGTGAATCGGCTGGGGACCCAACTGGGAGTGTGTGTCCCAAGAGTCAGTCACCTGCCGATCAACTCACGGCTCCAAGTGATAGGATTATTTCCAAAAGATGAAAAATATTTCCAAAAGATGAGAAGTATAAAACAAAAGAGGCCTTTACTCTGAGAACCCAGAGAGGACTGGCACACCGGCCACTGAAGTCTGGCGATCTCTCTCTTGGACATGTGGCATGGGGGGAATATAAGTAGCCTAAGCTTAGGGCAGTGCCCTAAGGCCATTAGAGATGCACAGGTATTTCACTGGCACATGTTTGGCGCCAGGGGCAGATTCCGAAGGGTGGGGGATATAGAATTACAGGTAAATCTCTAGGGGTGGGGGAGACAGGAGCTCCCTAATTCCAGCTGAGGCTTTTTCTGGCTACAGTGTCCAGTCTGGGTCAATAACCCTTTCAGTGGAGACCTCAAAAATGACCAAATTCCTTCCCCTCCTAACTCATGTGAGTGCCCACTGCTCCTCTACCTCTTGTAGTTGTGGCATTGGTTTGTTCTTCTGGTATTAAGACTTAGTAGGACACGCAGTCATTAAGTTACGTCTCCTTCAGAGTTTCATTCAGTCCAATGCGGAGCCCTGCTTCTTTGAATGCTTTCCCAGCCACCCAAGTTACATGACATCTGCCAGAGCCTTGCCCTCTCACTGAGCTCAGCGTGTTGTGCCTTCTCCCCTCTCAAATGCCCAGAGTTCAACCAAGGTTGTAGCATTTGTGATTTGGTTATTTTCAGATAGAACTTTCCCAGAGTCTTACATAGTAAAGGAAATACAGCATTTTATAATCAAATGGGAACTCACATTATAGAGAACCTGGTAAAAGCACAAAGATGCCAAGAATAAAATTATTATTTCTTGATAACATAATCTAGGAACAGTCATAGTTCACATTCAGGGGTAGCTCAAGGGTCTTTATCTGTATACCAATGGTGGTGAAGCTACAGCATGCATGTTACTTGTTTTTCTTTTAAGACAAAAGATATGAATGTAAGATTTGTTTTTTCCGGGGCTGGGGATTTAGCTCAGCGGCATAAGCACCTGCCTTGCAAGCAGGCAGTCGTGAGTTCGATCCCTGGTACCGGTAAAAAACGAAAAAGACAAAAAAAAAAAAAAAAAAAGATTTGTTTTTTCCTAACCTAAAACCTTAGCATTCAGATTTAATTTCAGTGTTAGCACTTTCCAATAAATAAGTGGGTTTTGCCATCATTGATCGGTATCTACACCTGCTTTTCCGGCTCACTCCATTATGTACTAATGTCCTCTCTGGATAGTGTTTGTTGTTGTTTTGGGAGGTTGTTTTGTCTTGTCTTGTTGAGACCAGTTCTTGCTATGCTGACCTGGCCTGAGGGTATAAGGTGGCAGCCAATTACAGGGCTTCCCACACTATGCAGTTCAGGCTAGCCTTGAATGGTGAGTCTTCTGCCTCTGCCTCTCCACCGTGCTGGCAGAGTGTCACTGTTCAACCCAGCCCTTGTTGTGTTTGTTTACCATATTATGATTCCTGAAAGAGTGGTGGAATTTCACTGGCTTGCCTGACAGGCTGTGACATTATTATCCTGTGTTTTTGTCTACAAGGCTGAATCTGAAAGCCAAGAAATTCCTCCTATATTCCTTTGGGGGCACAAATTCATTAACTCCATTGGTCAGGCATTGAGTGGGCATTGGGAATGGAGCCAATCTGCAAAGAAAATAAACGGGCTTGTGATTTCTGGAGTGTTTATTCCAGGGCAAGAGAAGAAAGAGTAAAAGTACATAGATGAGCAAGAAGACATCAGACACAGCAAAGTGCTCTGAGCACAGCTGAGCGGTGTAACCTGGGGAGGTGAGAGGGTGGAGTGAGCAGAGGGGAGGGACTAGATTTCCAGAAAGCAAAAGCAGCCAGCATGAAGATGCCAAGAAAGATGTGAGAGGAAGCTCAGTGTGGGTGGAAGCAGGCACCCAAGGGCACGTGGCTGGGGCCAGAGACCACTAGAGATCCTGACTCCATGTCCATTTGCAGAGTGAAACACACTGGCATGTGGTGTGGAGACAGCGCTTTCTGTGGTTCTAGCCAGCCTCTCTGAGGGGAGCAGAAGTGTAAAGAGGAGCTGTATTAGGTGGATGCTGAGGTCTGGACACCCTTAATCCCAGCAACACACACTCTAGATCCAGCAAGCTCTGAAAGGCCCCACCTGTGACCACATGAGGCTTTAGGGGATATCCAGACACAAGCCATAGTAGTCTTAAATGATGGTTGTTTATTACAGAGATATACGACAATAGGTTTCTCTGCTTTCCTGTAACTGTTATGTCAGAATTTTATTGCTTCAGGTTAAAAGTCACAGAAAGACTTTTATTGTTAAGATCACTCTCTATTCAGTATAATAAAGTGGAGATGACATGCTAGCGTCCTGAGCAATGATCTGCTATCAAGCTCTGGTTTATAAAATGGCAGAGTGGTCCATGAAGTCCCCTCCAGCCTCTAGTAGGTAGCATGTTACTCATCTCTGCCTGCCCAATGGCATTTGCACCACTCAAAAGGAGGATTATGAGTAGATTGATAAAAATCACACACTGTCCTTTCTTAATTTGCAGAATTGCATAAATTGTTGCCACAGTAGTTTGTTCTCCCTGAGTTGACTAAGATCTTTGCCAGAATAGACATGGGAATGCTAACCTTCTGGAAAGACACTACACCAGGGATTGGTACTATTCAGTTAGCTCCCACGAAGACCACCTATCACAAGCAGCTTCTGACAGGCAGTATGACATATAATCATGCTCCAGCTCAGTCAACACTACTGATGGGCAGCTGGGGTTCCCAGGTCCTCCAAGACCGACACCTTTGCCATGTATATGGTCAGGGTGTCATGTGAATCAGGGAGTCATGCCACAGTACTTTCATGTTGATATTTTCAGTGGTTTGGGGCCAATGATAAAAGGCAAGAAATCAATCCTATTAAGAGCTCACACTTTTCTTTTGTTCAACGTTCATTATGTGTCAGGCATTGAGCAAAGCATTGTTAGATACATTGTCTCAAAGGAACCTCACAGTGTCTCAAGGAACTGTGCCACGTAGGGAGTTGAGGTTCAGGGGTCACCTGTAAAGTGGCATAACTGGATTCAAATAGAAACCTAACACTCAAGTCTTAGCTATAACAATATTAGAGACCTCCCAGTAAGGAATTTACCTTTCCCCTCATGGCTCAGGCAAGCTGTCGCAAATTCTATTTTAGTTATCCATTACTTCCTCATGGTCAGCTTTAAAACTTAGTGGTTTAAAGGCATATCATGCATTTATTTTGCACATGAATATGTAATTTGTCTGGGATTGTGTTTGTTCCACGAACAGAAGCTGTGATATTGTCCTGGCTGACTCAGACTCCTATAGAGATGAGGCACCTGTTGGCCAGAAGCCTCAGTTTCTCTCCACAGGGTCTCTTTTGATTCCTCCCATGGCTGGTGTATTCAAGGACCAATGTGCCGAGAGACCAAAGCAGAAGCAGCAAGGGCTCTGCCGACCTAACCTTGGAAATAACAGCACCCGCTCCTTAGTAACCTCCAAACTGCTGCGTTCTAGTGCAGTCTGTCATGGGGTCAGAGTGTACACCAGCGGAGGTGGCAATCTCTTTGAATCTGTCAGATCACAAGAGCCAGGTGCTGAAAGCCTTCCAGTGGCTCCCATGCTACTCTCAGGACCCTGAGTGGTCACGGGGCTGCCATTCCACGTTGGCTCTCACTCACTGCTGGCTCCAAGCTCCTTCCTGCCTCAGGGCACTTTCCCTTGCCATTTGCCTCGCACCCTCCTCTAGGTGTCCCTGAATGGCTCACACCCTTTTTCCTTCACTGCTCTCTGCTCAGTTTCCCTCCTCAGTGAGGCAGTCTTTTTTTTTTAAATTTTATTTAAGGAGAAAAAAAAAGCAGAGAAAGGGTACAAGTTATACAGATTTACAGAAAAAAATAAACAGTAGGAAATCACTAGTTAATGGATTACATATTGTCATCTTAGAAATAATTGTTCAAGTTACAAAATTAAAGCTTATAAAGTGGACATTCAAACACTGAGACTTCAAACAGTTCTGTTCAATGATCCAACAAAACTCAGTGATATCATCTATCTTATACACTTAAATATACATGCAGTTATATCGTTTAGAGCAGTTTTTTTTCCTCTCTTTTGTACAATGACAATTACGCATTTTGGGTTTTGTTGCTCCCACAGTTCTTATTACTTTTTTGGAAGGGAGTAGAACCAAATGTGACCTAACAGAACAGAGTAAATCAAATCAAAAGGGTGGACATAATAGATAATGTAAAAGCATAATACAAGGTGATCAACAATGGTTACCATAATGCCTCCTGCCAGCTCTAATAGAATTCCCTATGTCATCAGTTATAATAAAACTGAACAAAACAGTAAAGAACAAAACCGACAAAACCAAAACATTGGAGACATTATAGGTCTTCAAAAGTAGATAATAGTCAACGAGAATGGGCGTTATAATGAATCTCTCTATCTTCACAGCTGTTGCCTAAACTTTTGAACCTGGTACTATAAAGGATAACAGAATAGAGGAAAATCAGTCAAAAACAAGACGGTCAGAGTAATACAGGGCTTTAAATCAAGATAATGGAAAGTCAAAGTGGGTTACTATAATATATCCTGCTATTTTTTATTTATTTTTCCCTTAATTAAAAGGATAAAAATAAAAAAGTAAATAATGGAGTGGAGATTGAGATAAAAGAGGGCATAACAGCAAAACAGCGCAGATCAAAACATAACCATTTAAGCAGAATAGTGTTTCACCACAAGATAATCCTGACATAAAAGTAGTTACCATATTGTCTCTTTCCTTGAAATCTTTGAGTATAACTTCGTATACTGTAGCATCAAACATATCAAAACAATGTAAAACCATTTAAGAGAATGACAGCATTTCA